AGGAATGCAGATGATGATTTAATGAAGTCAAAGACAGCAGCAAGAGTTGTCCAGAGTCTTGACCCACTCCACGGAAAGTGAGGCTAGTAGCTGATCCTGATACAGTTATTTCCTTATCTACCATCTAGTATTTATGGTGTTTAGTTACATTCCTGTATTCCATTTTTTTCTCCTGAATGCCCAGATCTATTACTGATTTTAAACACTTTCATTCTGAATGTGAATTAGCATCTCTGATAACACCTACAAGAAACATGTTTGTGTCCTATTTCAAATCAGGGGGCTAACTGTAGTTCCTGTAGGATTTCTGGGCTCTTGATTTTTAATTGTTTGAAGTTCAGGCAAAAGTGACTATAAAAGCATGAAGGAAAAATAATAGTTTATAAGTGCAAGTGAAATATGCTTAGATTTGCATAATGGATTTAGTCAGAAACCCCTACTGTTTTATAGAGGGAAAAGTGCATGTGCACAATAAATAAATTATACTGCGCCATCAATATGTTGCATCTAACTACATTAGGGGCTCTATTTTTTCCCGTATGACTTAGGTAAGATGACATGTTGGAAAACACATGTTTCTTCATTGTACTATTTAAACCATTTGGTAAATCTACTTACAGATAACAAAAACATTTTTTATTGCTTCTACCAAGTAAGCTATATTTAAAACTAACCTTTGATATCTTTACATGTAAGACCTCAAAATATTGTAAAAATGTTATTATCACAGTTACTGTCTTTTGTGGCCCTTCCAGCTTGGGTGGAACATGACCAAAATCTTGTTCTTTGACTTCCTCTGCCTTCAGACTGCCTTGCTTTCATGTGCTTGTCTTATTTACTTCCTTCTAAGTCTACTCATTTCAGGAAAGGGCTGTGTGAACCATTTCCTTCATGATGAGGACATTTAGGTCTGTTTCAACTACTCATTGCAAAATTATTTTCCTGAAATGCTGTTAATATTTGGTGAATTTCATTTTACTCTGGCAAAGTACTGGCCAGAAATGGTTGAATTATTAAATCCATTTTTTATAGAGCATGAACTTTGCTTTCAAAAGGCAACTCAAAACAAACTGGATTATTTTGACGAACTTAATGAAAATATTTGGCTTCCAGTTTTTTTTTTTTTTATCCTCTTCCTCCACATTCTTCTCTGCCGTTTTCTGTGCTTTTTTTGTTTAAAAAGGGAAGGAAGAGTCTATGGGCAAAAGGGGGGAAATCAACAAATTGAACAATATTGAAAATAAAAATTTTCAGATAGAATTTAATGTGTTTTTTTAATCAACGTAAAAAATTAAGAATATTTTGAATTAACATCTTTTATAGTTTCAAGATTGTTAATATCTTAACTTTGACCAGCTCAGTTCTTTTCTCTGCTTGGAGCATCTATGTGCCGGCACATATGAGAAAAACTGACTTATAAGTATGTCTGCATTTTTCAATAAAAACCAAAAAACAAACAAGGAACTGGAGATCATAGACCGAACATATAATGGGCTTCATTCTGCAAGAGAGTGAATGGCTGCAGCTTACTTTGCACTGAGTGAATCTGAGGCACTTGTCATGTGGCCACACACTTTTGTTAGCTTAGTTACAGGTAAAGAGGTAGAACAGTAGCATCAGAAATGGAAAATGATGGCAGAAAAAGTTTGGTCATTGGTTCTTTACGGCTGATGGGAGCAGCTGTTCTCCTAGGGTCTCTCCTGAAGTGTACATAAGCAATATGAAGGTAGAAGAGCACAGGAAACGGAAGACTTAAAAATAACACAAGATGGAACCCTCCCAAACTGTTTTTGCAGCAATAACTGCTCTAAGAAAAGTTATCAACTCAGATGAATCACACCTAAGTAAGGAGGCTAATTTAAAGAAACTCTAGTGAACAAAGAGAAATAAGCTTTTCCAGAGAATGATTCAGTCCTTAGGTAGACTGTGTACCTTTCTCTCTTATGATGCATCTTGAACACATGGTGAAACTCAGATAGTTATTCTATTAAAACTAGGTCATGATGACTGAGCACTGACTAACCAATCCTTCTAGCGGTTTCAATCTTAAGCCATGCCACTGGAAATCTGGTATCCAGCGCAGTATGGCCTGGTGTTTCTGTCTACCCTTGCAGTCATACCTACTATACATGTCTTGGCATCAGGCAGCTGTGAATAGGTAAAACTTGACCCTTACTTGGCACAAAGAAGCAATCTTGTGAAGAACTAAGCATGTAAAAGCAGAAACTCCCTTTCCTGACCCCAAAAGAACGATTTTACCACCTAAGTACTGATCACTGTATAGATTCATTAGACAGTGCTCATAGCTGAGGGCTCTCTCTTTCTGCTGAGGTCATTTATTTCATCTTATGATGGTCTGGAGAAAGTACATGGCATCATTTAAATGTTTCTATTAATATCTGTCCTTGCTTTTGAACACATACTATACTTCCTACACCGTACGTACTCCCTGTGTGGATCAGCTGTTTCAGTGCATTTTCAGTAATTCAGCCTGTGTTCTTTAGCTGCATAATCTTGGGGAAGAAGCCCAATGCAGTACCAAGGAGCTGTGCTTCCTATAGGAAGGAGGAGGTACATGCTATGTAGGCTTTCCTGTGCTTTCAATGTCTTTTGTGTAAACCTCATTTTCAAGCTTATTTGCATTGGAAAGGTCCAGTCCCTCAGACAAAGGTCAAATGTTCTTCAGTGGGAACTTTTCCTGAATGCAGACGGCAGAATGAAACTTTCCTGCATGAAAACAAAAGGCATCTTTTCGCTCTGAAATCTTCCATACGAAGAATTTGCCCGTTGCAGTATAACACAATACAAGAAATGCAGTCTCCAGGAGGAGAGAAAAGAGGGTTGCTTGATTTAAAATCCAGATTTAAAATCCAGGCTTTTCTTCAGTGGGAACTTTTCCTGAATGCAGACGGCAGAATGAAACTTTCCTGCATGAAAACAAAAGGCATCTTTTCGCTCTGAAATCTTCCATACGAAGAATTTGCCCGTTGCAGTATAACACAATACAAGAAATGCAGTCTCCAGGAGGAGAGAAAAGAGGGTTGCTTGATTTAAAATCCAGATTTAAAATCCAGGCTTTTTTTTTTT